AAGCACCTTTTTATTGTGATTGTTCAGACGGCTGTGTGGTCTTATATTCATATCTTCATTTGATATCACACAATACGGCGGCATGTATTGGCGAACCAATAAAATTGAGTACTTTCTCAGTAGTAGATAATTGGAAAGATATTTGTATTTCAGATATTTTCAAATGATTGTTATTTCCACAAAATTACCTCATAATCTAAATGTGGTTAAATAAATACACAATAAAATATTTAAAAGTGTATTTTCGGAATGTTATTACATATAGAAAGGGATATTGGCACCAGAAATTATTTTTAGTATTAAATAAAGGATTATGATATAGAAGAAAGATTTCAAGATCAAATTCTGAATAATTAAATATAAATATTATATGTAGGTTAGAGGTATTTAATTTAAAGGCAGCAGTGGGCTGTCGGTATGTGTCAAATTGCTCACACATACAATTATAAAAAAAACCATTTGAGAATAAAAACCAGTAAGGAATGTTCAAAAATCGGACAGGGCCGACTATTTCATACCCTTCACCACATTGTGTAAATAACGGAGATGTTAATATCTACAATATCTTGTTGATATAACAGACATAAAATCTTTGTAGAACCATTGAGATGGAATCGGGCGGAAATAAATGTGCTATCAAGATAGATATTTTAACCAATTGAAAAAAAACAACATCCACATACAATTCTGAAATCAATGAAAAATTGCATGTCGAAGGCCCAGACTTGGATTCTTTGGACCTAATTGAGTAACCGTTGTATACACCACTTGTTTTTTGTAATCACTATATTCAATTTAATACCCTCTCTATATCTAAATCTGAATCGATTTTAACAAAACTTGGCAGACATCAATCAGAATATGATTCAGTACTCTGTGCAAAATTTTGTCTCAATTGGACTAATATTGGGAATTTGGTGCATCATTCACAAAAAATCGCACGAACCGATTTCAACAAAACTTTGTATACATTAGTCTGGACCTAATTCAGTACTCTGTGCAAAATGTTGTGCCAATCGGACACATATTGGGAGTTTGGTGTATCATTCACATAAAATCGGACGAAACTATATATGGGAGCTTTATCTAAATCTGAACCGATTTTAACTAAACTTCGTTGACATCAGTCTGTACCTAAATCAGTACTCTGTGCAAAATTGTGTCCCAGTCGGACAAATATAGTGAGTTTTGTGTATCATTCACAAAAAATCTGATGAAACTATATATGGGAGCTATATCTAAATCTGAACCGATTTTAATAAAACTTCGCAGACATCAGGCTGGACCTAATTCAGAACTCTGTGCAAAATTTCGTGCCAATCGGACAAATATTTTGAGTTTGGTGCATCATTCACATTAAATAGGACGACTATATATATGGGAGCTATATAAAAACTCTGCACACATAAGCATGGACCTGATTCAGTGCGCTGTGCAATCGGACAAATATTGGAAGTTTGGTACATCATTTACATAAAATCGGACGAAACTATATATGGGAGCTATATCTAAATCTGAGCCGATTTTAACAAAACTTCGCAGACATCAGTTTGAACCTAATTCAGAACTCTGTGCAAAATTTTGAGCCAATCGGACAAATATTGGGAGTTTGGTGCATCATTCACATAAAATAGGACGACTATATATATATATATATATATATATGGGATCTATATCTAAATCTGAACTGATTCCAACAAAACTCCGCACACATAAGCATGGACCTGATTCAGTGTGCTGAGCAAAATTTAGTCCCAATCGGGCAAATATTGGAAGTTTGGTGCATAATTTACATAAAATCGGACGAAACTATATATGGGAGCTATATCTAAATCAGAATCGATTTTCTCCAATTTCAATAGGGCTCGTCCTTGGGCCAAATAAGTGACCTATGCCGAATTTCATCCAGTTCGGATCATAAATGCGACCTGTACTTTGTTTACAATTTAACATGGACAGACAGACGGACATGCGTAAATCGACTCAGAAGGTGATTCTATGCATATTCTTAAAAGGAACCATGTGTCTATCTCGTTTCCTTTGCCTGTTACAAACATATGCACAAAGACATAATACCCTGTACCGTAGTGTGGTGAAGGGTATAAATATTATAATATCTAATTTGAAGGTTATACCAAAACCTCCGTCCGATGTTAGCTATTCGTATTGAACATGCCAACTACCGATAACACTCAGGTTTGAAAACGGGGGTAAGAACTTCAACATACAGAAAATTGAATGGGGAATAAGAATGGCGTATTTTTAAAAGGTTTAGCTATAGTCTATAATTTCTATGATGATGTCATTTATTCAGGGTGCGCAAAAATTCGCTCGCGAATGATTCAAAATACATTCTTTTCGTTTTGTGCTAATTTTACGAATGAATTTATGACGATAAAGTCTTTATCAAAAGAGCATTCGTCAAAGATTGTTCTCACACACATAACAAACGAGTGAGAGCACACAACAACGTTCGTTCGTTTCGTGGTTGAAATTCTTTCAGACATTCTCTCACGAATGAAAGCAAACATTCCCGAATTCTCGCGAATGCTCAAAACGGCAACAATAATAATGATAAACTCAATAGTTGTTGGACATGTGTTTTGTTATTCCACACACTTTCTACTACACACACATTCTTTTTTATGATATTTTTGTTTGTTGCTGTTATTAACAGTGCTCGCGAGTTTCGCGAACATTTGTTTTTTTGAGTTTTTTTTTTTTTTTGAACTTTTCCGCTAAGCTTCCCTCATCAAGAGAGAGAGAGTGGTTGGCGATCCTCTGGATTCAAAATATAAGCGGCGCCAGGTTGTATTCACAGCTGTTAATCAATCACTTCAATTTGCTTCGATCTTTCCAAAATTGGATTTTTGAGTTTTTCAAAAGAATGTACTTCAGCAACAAATGCTCGCGAAAGAATGAATCGACGACGCTTGAAGCGAAATTTTATCGTTCCTGAATTTTTCGTACAATGCAGACATTCGCTAGAGAATGCAAGTGCTTGTGCATTCATTGTAATTTTATCATTCGCGATAAATTGAAAACATTCGAGTTCTCGCCCGTGAGAAAGAGCGTATTTTTATCATTCTTCGCACCCTGCTTTTATCCACAGAAATAACCAAATAAAACAACCAATTACAGCTGATTCGGTTGAAAACCGTGCCCAAATCCCCAAAAATGTGGAGTGCCATTATATGGAGGTTTTTCGGAAGCTTGCGCAAATTTTTTACGAATATTTTCAACACAATGATCATCCAAAATATGATACACCGAATATTAAGGAATTTTCCGGATACTTAGGCCAATATTGATAATTGTATGTAGAGAGATTTTCTGCTCAATAAGTATCCCCTATATTAAGGGGACCCCCCCATTCTCGGGGTCAAAATTTTTGTTGATATAATTCGAATCTACACTGATTAAATAATGTCTCTACAAATTTTCAAGTGAAAATCTCAAGAACTCTTGAAGATATAGCCGATTTATTGTGTCAGCATCAAGTGACGGCTGAAGGGCTTCTCAAACTTTAAACGCGTTTTTCTCTAAACATTTTTTTGCGAATGGCGGGCACGATATCTCAAAAACTAATAATCCAATCGGTTCCAAATTTTGCAACGTTTCTCTGTGAGTGTATAGCTATCGTATGAACTAGGATAAAGCCAATCGGTGAAGATCTTCCTTATATTTTAACTTGGTTTTTGTTAAAAAATCGGCGATTTTCCAAAAATATTTTTTCAAAGGTCCACCATTTTGTTAATTTTAGAGCGAAGTCAATAATCCTAGTTCATACGAGAGTCAGACATGTACTCTTTCTAACACCGTTGGAATTTTCGGATTCCGATGTTCCAGTGCGGAGTTATCATGCCCGCCATCAAAAATAAGGACTTTTCTTTAATTACAAAAAACAACAACAAAACATTAACAAAATTTTTTTGTAAATTATTTTTCTTCTCTTTTAAATCTTCAATTATATATGTGCAAAGTTACAAACCTTAACAAGCATTGGTATTGATTTACCAGCCCATTGAAAATCTTGAAAAAATAAAATCGAGAATGGGGGGGGGTTCCCTTAAATGAAAATAAATTCTGTTGAAAACCGTGCCCAGATCTTCAAAGCATGGAATGTTTATTGCTACCGTTATATGGGTGGTACCCCAAAATTTGTGCAAATATTAATAATATTTGGTACTGACACTTTCTGCTCAATTACAAACAATTCTGTTCAACAAATTTCTCATATTGCGAGGTACCGTTATATGGGAGCTACCCTAAATAGTGAACTAATATTGAACATGTTCAATACCAAATATCCTAGGAGTAGTAGCAATATATGTGCAAATTTCAGATCACTATCTCAAATCGTGGAGGGGAAAAAAGGTAACTTAATATTGGGCTATCGTTATGTGAATTATACATCAACAATATTGCTATGCAAGACAACGTTTGCCGGGCCCGCTAGTACAATTATAAAAGAGAAACATTAAAAAAAAGGATTTTCAAATTGTCATTCCTTCAGTCGATATGATATTGTAAGAAACATTTTTGTTTTAAATTGGACAAAAATAAATATACATATCGTTAGCTAAAATGCAAAAGGCGTAACTAACAAAAAAATGAAAATTGAAATTGACTTTATCAACACATGTAGATTATTGACATTCACAATATTCATTCAAAAACAATTTTCAATTTTTTTTAGTTACGCCTTTTTGCATTTTAGCTAACGATATGTCTCATATTTTCCCTACTTTTTTCAATAAAAGACAAATTATTCGGCAAATCCTACGGACACTTGATTTACATATTTACTAGATTTTCGTTCCCGAACTTTTTGACTTATTTTGTAGTCTGAGAGCGAGTTTAACATTTTCCCCTTTTACTAGCTAAAAGGTATGGGAACAGATCTTAAAAAATAATAATTATATTCTTAACGAATCCAATTTATTTTTTATTCGTACATAATTTAACTACAATTATAACACATCACATATTTTACTTACCATAACTGTGTAAGGAGCCATGATCCGATTCAGTCTCATGGCCAGCATTAACTAAAATACTTTTCCTCCTAACAGGACCAATTTCTGTGTGGGAGTGGACAGATGTCTGCAAATACAAATAAATCGAAAATAGATTCATTATTAAGGTAAAGTAACTATAGATTATATTATGCTAATACAAACAAACCAAGTTTCAAATACATTTTATACAAAATACACAAAACAAAATTTCTTTCTGAATAATCAAATCTGCCATTTCCTATAACTAACATCAAAAATAAACACTTTCACTTCACACAATTTACAAAAGAAAAATGTTCGAAAGCAATTTCCACTATGCACTATTTTCCACCTCAACAAAATTCTATATCAAATTTCAACAAAATTGCATAAATCCATGATTTCGTATAGAAAATAAATTATGTTTATTTTTTGGTTTATAATAATTAAATAATGGTGCATTGTAGTACAATATGCTTTCAGAGGCAAATACAACAAAAAAACCAACGAAAAAATCTACACAGAAACATTTGCAAAAAATATTGTCAGACATACCGTCAAATGCACAATAATAATAACAAACGGCAACAATACTAATTCCCAATTCTATGCAAATGTGCAAAAATGCATTTCACAATTCAATTTCGAAAAATCTCTGTCTCTAATACACATGGGCATTTTTATTGGAAAAAAATCGACATCGAATTTTTTCCTCCCAGCGGCTAACAAGGCAAACATCAAATTATTGCAAATATAATCTATAGCTTGGAGGCAAAAAAAAAAACTAAATAAAATAAATTGTGTTGATATATTACTGAATAGGAAAAATATATAAAGTATATATAAAAATGCTAACATATTTGAATATAACTTATCTCATAGATGGATATGTCGAGGACATTTTATTATGGCAGATTCCTATGAAAACCAGCTCTATTTGGTTGAAAGGTTTTGGAAATAAAAAACTTCTTGTATCAACTCCAACCAAGATAAATTAATACTGGAATTATATTGAAACACGAAGTATCACGTAACAATCAAAAATCGAATGGATGTAGTCTTAATAATTGCTATGTTTTCGATACATTTTGAATAATTCCGGCATGATAGTTGAATGTGTAATTTCCAAATTCTAAAAATATATGTATATCTTTTTTCACATATATTAATATAGAAGATTGATACCAAAAATAAACAAACGTTTATATTTACGCTAAAAACATTTAATTAATTAAATCCCCTAATTTACAACGAATGCCACCCAACAACTAACCATAGGATGAGAAGACGTGTTTTCATTGAATCTAAAATGATGTATCAATGCGTGCTCAAATAATTTAAATGAATATTAAAAAAAATATTTATGGTCAATTTGAACTGTGCTTTATTATCGTTGGCGGTTTGCCTGGATTATTTTATAGTTTATGACACTTCTAAATAAATTCAATGATACATTTTTATTTAAATTCCATTTAAATTAGTTTATTTTTTTCTATGGTTTCATTAACATAACTCTTGAGTAGATAATTTAGTTAGAAGAGTCATAAAATTGATTATGATGATAATTATAACAATTGAATTATTTTTTTAATATACAGGAAAAAAAAAATAAATAAACATTGGCTTGAAGCGGATCAACTCTGTTTTTATTCAAATTTTATTAGCTATGGTATAAACACATATATTTCATTAATCATTTGAATGCAACTCTTATTTAAATATTTGAAATTAATATTGGTAAAAACTACATCTCTGAATCTACTACATTATTACACAACCAATACCAATACGAGGATCTTGCTTATAAGTAGTACCTAAGCTCAATCTAATTTCAATAAAATCGCTACACTGCGAGTCCTGGACCCCCCCGACTCTAATTCGTTTAGCGAACACTGAAGGCTTAAGATCATTATCCACGCTTGCCCAAGTTGATTTACTCAGATCATAAGCTGAAAGCAATTCCTAAACAAGGAGTAAAAGCATTATTGTAGCATGCATGTTGTTTCGGATAAAGCCATAGCAGCTCCGCTCACGAGGTGCTTTATTGACGCCCAACGTGAGGTCGGCTTTATTGGCACACAACGTGGGAACTTGCTTTATTTACGGCCAACAAAATGGCCACGAACAACGACACAAAGATTACATTCACGGAAACTACCAAAGCAGATAGCGACGAGTAGGTGTCAGGCGAAGAAGAAGAAGAGATGACACAGTTTACTGAAAGCCAATTCAAACAACTGATCCAGGCAATGCAGAACAACAACGAAATTAACGGTTAACTATGTAAACATTTTGTAAATAGTACCAAAAACTACATCTCTGAATCTACTACATTATTACACAAGTAGTACCTAAGCGCAATCTAATTTCAATAAAATCGCTACACTCCGAATCCGAACCCCCCCATTCTAATTCCTTTAGCGAACACTGAAGCCTAATGCAGTACTATGGTGAGGTTCCATACTAGCTCAGTTTGGGAACATTTGTTGAATTCTCAACCCTTGCCACCATCAACCCTAGGGAATGCACAAATTGAAAAACTGGATCATATCACAAACAAATAACACAAAAACAAAAACAAAAAAACAAGCCCTTCCTTGACCCTTTTGTCCAAATTTTAAATGATTATTTAAAGGGCCCCATTTTCAAATTATCCCTGGCCTTGGTATCATTCTTTAATTATGTTCTTTGGTCGCCCTCGATATCCGGTTATTTTTCTTTTTGGCAATCGGTGTGCAATTTTAAGCAAATTTAACCGACAATTTTGACCAGGACTGTACTCCTAGAACAAACGTTGATAATCTGGTTGAGGTTGCCGAAGAGTATTCTCCAGCTAGAAATAATGCTTCATACCGGTTCCAAACGCCAAACAATCCTAGCGATAATATTATTATACCTTCATCTCCAAATATGGTGGATATAGATTATTCGAAGATAAACACTATGATAGAGAATAATATTGCGAAATTTTTCCAAAATTTAAATTTAGTATCAAATCTTCCACCGAATCATCAGCAAAGTACTGTACAAACACCACCAGTCAACAGAATTAATAATATTACAACTTGCCCCCTTGAATGTAAATAGTTGTAGACACAGTTCAAGCCAAATTGAGCAAATGGTCTCTTCACGCCCTGAAAAGTTGATGGCCATTATTCAAAATTGGAATGTCAAATTTGATGGCTCCAGTACAGGTCTGACGGCGGAAGAGTTCTTGTACCGAATTAAATCCCTAACACTTGAACATTTTGAAAATAATGTTACCATAATATGCAAGAACCTCCCTGTCCTTCTCACAGTCAAAGCTCGTGAGTGGTATTGAAGGTACCACAAACAGGTGGACTCCATAGAGTGGACATCTTTCTGCGCGGCGTTAAAGACATGCGATCGTCATATGAGATAAAAGAAGAAATTAGGAATCGAAAAATGAAACCTGGTGAAACCATCGAAGCATTTTATGATTCAGTTTGCACAATTGTAGACAGGCTTGATCAACCTATACCTGAAGAGGAGTTGGTTGAAATGTTGATGAGGAACTTAAGGCCTGAAATTCGACATGAATTACTATATGTGCCTGTCTTCACCATTGCTTACAAATTTAGTCCAAAGAAGAGAGAAATTATTCGGAGACGAATTTTATCGCAAAAATCTTTCATTAAAACCGCAGTTTAACCCAACTCATACGCCCAAACGAAATATTGCTGAATTGGACAATTCTGAAGATCTAATGTCAGATCCAAAGTCAATTTTAGCTATGGGTGTGGTTTGCTTTAAACTGCATTTAAATTAGAACTATTTACCGGGTTAACCTACTCTATGAGGATTTATTTGACATGTAGGCAATGAAATTGACAATTGAAACCCACTGGGTTAATGAAATCCGGTACAATGTAAACGTACTGTTAGGCTTTTTTTGATTTCCTTCAAAGTTATAGTTCCTAAATTATTCGACATACCTGTGATATTTTTCTTCGTGGATTTTGTTCAAAAGCAGGATTATCATAAGCACCATTACTGCTGCGGTTTTCGTGAGCTGGATCTGATATAATACTGACGCGTCGTTTGGGCTGATTTTCAATCACAATTGTATTTTTGTTCGTTCCATTGGTATTCATATCGTTGACATTGGGAATGCCAGCATTCCCCATACCTCCAGAGGAGCCATTTGGTAAATTGTCAGAATTTTCATTCATATTTTTATGATGCTGCAAATAAATAATAAACAAAAGTAAATACATTAAAACATATATTTAGAAATGTAAATATTAATTTTTTTAATTTACTTTCAATATCATTAATTATGAAATTAAAAACAATTTGCAATACAAAAATGATTGTATTATTAATTAATTCATTATTTCCGAATGTCGACTCAAATTGGGAAAATCCAGTTTGTTAATTTGTTTGAAAGAAAACACACATTTTACAATATTTTGAATATTACGAATTCATTTGTAATGTTGAACGATGTTTAAAATAAAGCGTTCTCAAAATTCTAACACAGTAAATTTGAAGGAAAAACGTTATATTTTTAGCATTTATTTAATAATGTTAATCAATCTATAAAAATAATAATTCGTGGCTTCTTAGAAAGATTTTGGATTGCATTTGTGTATTTTATATTTTATTATAAGTTAATTATCATTATTAAGAAATATTTAATATTGTTGGGTAGAAAAACATAAAAGTATAAAGATGGGATATTGTAAAGTCGAAAACGCCAATAGATGGTTTTTGTTCTGTAATGAAAATATCGTAAAAAACAAAGCAAGCAATAAGTGTGTTTTATATTGCATTTTCGGTAACATTTAGAGTTATGCAAAACTAGTTCACGTAGCGGATTGATCTTTCTCGTTCCTATTTTAAAAGGAACTAGTTCCTTTGTTCCATATAATTCCGACACCTAGTTCCTTTGAATCTCAATCTTTCATCAATATTTTCGATTTTTTTTCGCTCACATAGTTCGGTGTTCGGATAGATTAAAAAAGTAAAAAAATTGTGCAAAATTGAAAAAAATGATTTTAAATAATTTCTATATATTAGAATATTCAGATGCTACAAAATTAAACTGCAGGACGATAAGTACAAAATACTTTTTTTATATTTATCTACTTTATTTTCATAAATAACTTTATTATTTACACAATAATAAAATGATAAGCATATGTTTATATGTTGTTAACAATGTGCCAGCATCTGAACAACGAATGATAACGAATGAAAAATATGAGAATAAAGAAACGAGATCAGAAAAAGGAACTATGTTAATTAAGGATTTGCAAATAGTTCCTATCTTTTCTATATCGGAATAGATTCAATGAATTTGATCGATCCGGAACTACACTACTTTAGTAATATACACTAAGTAAACAATATTTGAATAAATAGGAACTGTTAGCTCTAAAGAGATGAAATTGTAAAAACTAAAACAGTAATAACCTTGTATCGATACAGCTGAGTGAAACAAGAAAAAGTTCGGCGCAAATAAAAAAGCTTTTTTTTTTAATGAAAAGCATGAGAAAAATTTTAGTTAGTGTTCATTATTTTTATTTGAACATGTGTTAGAACAACTCTAGTTTAGTAAAAACAATTTAATTTTTCTGAAATTTTTTTTCTAGAGGTAGGTATTTTTACCCTAATTATAGGGATATATATTTTTTTGAAGGACGTACCCGGTGGTTATTTGACCCGGAAGTTCGGGTACGGGTACCGGTTATACCTGGTTCCACGGATCCGGATTATATAAAATGGGTATCATTTTAAAGACCGAAGGCCGGCCACCCAAAATACCATTCTATTTAAAATTCTGTCCTTTGCTTTCTCGTTTTTGTACGGTTCTAAGGCCCATATCTTTGATCCACAACAGATACAGCCACATACCGCATCATTTTGGAAAGGGCAAATTGTGGTCTATCAGGATTGATGAGGGATAACGGACGGAGGATGTTCGACTTTTAGGGGGTTTTTGAAAAAAATGGTTCAGATTTAGATATAGCTCCCATATATAGTTTCGTCCGATTTTATGTGAATGATGCACCAAACTCCCAATATTTGTCTGATTGAGCAAAATTTTGCATAGCGAATGCTATTGAAAAAAAATGATGCGTGATAAGGTTTGTTGAAATCGGTTCAGATTTTGATATAGGTCTTATATATATTTTCGTTCGATTTTATGTAAATGGTGGTTATACGAAATTTGGGGGTATTATATTGAATATAGTGATTACAAAAAACAAATGGTGTATGCAACGGTTACTCAATTAGGTCCATGTTGATATATATAGCTCCCATACATAATTTGACTCGATTTCATACAAATGGTACACCAAAGAATCCAATCGATGTGGTTTTATCACGTTTAAGCCACACTTCGAGGAGGTTTTCTCTTTTGATTATCATTCTCTTAAAATTGGAATAAGATGATAAAAGTCAAATAAAGGTGGTTGGAAATTTAGGAGTAGATGCCTCGGAATTTGTATTTTAAAATAAAACGTTCGAATGATGGGCAAGGTGGGGCATACAAGTTAGAGTTTATACAAAATTATATAAATGGGAAGAAAATACATATAAATAATGAGTTTTTTGTTGAATTTTTAGTCAAATCAAATAAGCCAAAAAATATTAAAATTGCAGTAATTTAGGTTGAACAACGTATCCAGATAGGGGTTTACCCTATTTGGGTCTATCTAGTAATAGGGTAAACCAAGAATATGAGCCAAAATTCCCCTAAAACACAATTTAACTGACTGTTTTGAATTATTTTCGGCAACCGACTTCAAACTCCGTTCACAAGTTAAATTCACGATGTCTCTTCTGAACTGCTCAAATTTCATATCTATGATCGTCTAATTTTTAAAACAGCTCTTGGATTGCAGTTCCGGCCTTGTTTAATGACAGTTTTGTCATTAGTCCGCAAATTGGAATTTCGGCAGAAATATAACGTCCAAAATACCCATCATAGATACAATTTTAGTGTAAAAGAAATTCTCGATTATAAACTTTTTTAAAGAGATTTAAGTATTTCATAACATCAGAAGGTTTTGCAATCATTTTTATTACTTCATATGTGTAATTAACAATTCCTACATTAAATTGCAAAATTTAAATTAAATGATATGCAGAAAACCAATTACAATTTAAATAACATTCCAACTAATCGGTTAGTTGATTGGTATTCAGAACCACAAATATTAACACAAATTTCTGCGAATACTTCAAAATGTTAAATACAAAAGTCGAATTTCACTATCATAAAAATGTTCCGAAATGCGAAATAATTACCAATTTGTTTTTCTACTTAAGCGGAAATTAATGTAAATAAACTTCGTAATGAAGACGTGAACAATATCAAATTGATTGCAACCAATGCCTTTATTCTGATGTCGACGAACCACTGCACTTCCTAAAGAGCAATATCACGAATACGGTATCCACATTACAAATTAAAAAAAAATTATATAAACTGCACACTTTTTAAATGTATGACTAGGATTATAATAGAAAATTGGGTATATTATAAATTTTGGGGGAACACTATGTTAGACATTTGCTACTATTTTTTATTTCAAATAAAATTAATTACACTTTTAAAGCTCAATGCCGTTTTTGAGTTTTCAACACTAGCAATATAGTAATTTATTATTGCAAATGGCTTTAAATACTTTCCGAATTATAATCAACATGTAATAAATACGTTTGTAATCGTTTAATAAGTATTATATATACATATATTATTTTCTTTTGTAAATTTTATAATAACATTGTAAAATACACAACCACAAAAAAGGGAAAATAAACACATACATGTGCTATACTATACGTTTCCTTCATTGTATTGTTGTTGTTATTGTTATTCCGCTCTTATTAAAAATAAATCGTTATTATTATTTTATTTCGTTGTCGGTTAATACGCCGACTTCCTCCCTTCCGTTACACACTTGCACTGTTTTCAGTTAAAAAAAAAAACTTTATGGTTTTGGAAATATTCAATTCGCTGAAGTTGTTCTTCTTTCTTTTTGTTTTGGGGAACGACCGTACGTCCGATTTCAATACAAATTTATGACTAAATTCCTTTGGCCATTTAACATTGAAATAAATTCATTTTTTCCATATCCAATAATTAAGTAAAAATGAAAAGAAATTTGTTCGTCTGCCTGGCTGCCAGACGACCGATTAACTGAGTGACTGGCTGGAAAGACGTGTGATCCGATCGAATTGGATTTTGTGTTAATTTGTATAATAAATTCGTGTAAATATTGTTGTGATATTGTTAAGTGGCGGTTATGTCGTTGTGTGCTACTGCTGTTTGGCGGCGACGACGATGCGCTGTCATTACCACCACCATATCGGCTGGGGCTGGGGTTTTTGTTGTCGTCGATGCTGCTGAATCTGCTGCTGACAACGTTGTTGTTGCCATTGCTGTCTTGTATTGAGTTATAAAAATTGATTTTTATTTGCTAAAAATTAACACTAATTGTGGCTTAATTGTTGTTGTTGTTATTTTTCCAGCCAAAAAACGAAAACAAAACATCCTAGAGACAGATCATAGCACGTACCGCTGTATATACATATGTATGTATATTTTAATGGGCAACCGTGTTGGCATTCTCAATATTGTGTTGGGGATTCGTAGCCACAAACCAATATTACCAATATTGACATACCAAGAACGATCGCATTATTGACGTAGAACATATTCGTTGTCGTCGTCGTTTACACCTACTTATGTATTGTTGAGAACGTACAACGTAATCTACGCAAAAATACAAAACCCTTTTAATTAGCATTAATTATGATGTCTATTGTAATATTAATATCAGGGCTAAATCGTCACACATTTGCAGCTATACATTTGTAAAGTACATAATACACTAGTCGACAAAATATCATTGGCAGTACTTTGTAAGGGATTATTGTTACAGAAGAAGCTATTAATAGCTTCTGGGGAGAATATCCCAACAAAAAACTAAGGGAACTGATGAGGATCAGTGGCGAGATCCGAAACTATAGTCTTCCCTGCCTTACCCCTCGGCGGACAATGCCATAAATTCCCCACTAATAAATAGTTGTTTTTTATAAAAACAACCAACTGGGATTCAGCCTGACTATTTTGCAAAAACAAAATACAAATTGTATCCCAAATAACCCGCCAACACTACTGAAGTTGTAAACGCAGGCACGGTCATACTGTTTGGTTTATTGCTTTAACTAGCAA